AAAGGAGAGAGATTGAGACCATAATCCTATTAGTTTCTGAGCTTGTGAACAAGTGGCAGTCTCTCCAAAATTGTGAGATTAAAAGCAGATCAATATGAGGTGGGAAATGTACTCTGTAGATTTAAACTCAGTACCCCTATATATACCGTTGCATTATTTTCTTTAAACTGATAGATTTCTACATTTCTATGGGGAGAGAAACAGTGTGCCTATCTCATACCTAAACTGTACATTCCTTTCAACAAATAAGAATTTACTTTAAATTCCAAAATTGTAAGTAGCTTTTTATTTTTTACTCGTTTGTTAGAACAAGCTTTATTGTGGCACCAGAAAATACTGAGTAATTTCCTAGCTTGGCTACACATAAAATGGGAACTCTTGTAATCTGTCCCACTTTGCGCAGTTTAGGTGACACATTTAATGTATACATGAGAGAAATCTCCTGTTATAAAAGCTGCTAAGAAGGTTTGGTTGAACCCAGCAGCATATATAAAAGAACATTAACTGTTGCATGAAGAAAGTTTTCCTTTTAGGAATCTATAATAGGTTGAAAACTACTTATCTGACTAAACTGAACTAATCCTCATACAAAATGATATATTATTTATTTATTAAGAAAAATGATAGTCAACCAAATGATAGTTTACTTCAAAACAATTCTGGCAATGTCTCTGGTTAAGGCATATATTGTAAAAACCAATCTAGCCCAATGACAGACACTGCAGTGTCAGAATTACAAGAAAACAGAATCTATTGAAAACAGAAGCATAAGTAAATACTATGAGCCAGTAGCAGCGGTTTATCACTGCCTGAAGGAGACTGATACCAAGAAAAAGGATTAGGTATAAGGAGAATGTAGGAAAAGTGTTGAAGGAATAAAGCTGGAACAGTATTTGTTGAGGTACCGATTGTTTAAAACAAGGCTGTCCAATTGGTAGGCCATGAGGGGCAAGCATACAGCCCATGATCCCCTACAGCTGGCTCTCCCGTAGTTCTACGGAGACCCAAGTGGAGTGTTTGCCACTGGTATTGCCAGAGGTGGGTGGGTGGGTGGGGGGAGGGGGATCCTGTGGGGCTGACATCACCTATGGCTCCTGTGGTGTCTGATCCAGGGGCCACACACTGGCATAATGTGAAGCTCCCAACCATACTAGACTGCCCTGGTTCAAAATAAGAAAAATGTTTATTTTAGGCTTGAACAGCTTCAGACATGTCTAAAGTGATTGGAAAAAAAATTGGAAAGCTGCTGGAGATGTGAAACTTCACATTTCTTTATCCAAAACTTGTAAATTTGTCCTAGCTGAGATTTTTCTTGGGGGGCGCCTGTACCATGATTGATTTTTATATTAGGAAACCAATTCTGTATCCTAGATTATTTGGGGCTTAAGAAGCTGTAAAACGCAACTGTTTTTTGATCTCTGAATGATACACATGGTGAAATGATAAATTGTGGAATATAACTGTAAGACATTTTTTAGTTTTAACTGAGGGCACTTCATTCTGCAGGTATGATCCAGTTAGGTTTAAGAGTGGTTTCACTAGAAGTTGACTGCCAAAAGGATAAAAAGATTTTTATGTATGTCATTTATTAAAGTTTTTTTAAAGATTTGACTGTCTAGAGAACTGTAAAGCTTTCCTTTATACAACTGTGCATGTATTTTTGGAGTGGATGTATCATGGAGAATAAGTAAAGGCAATGATTCCTTTTTACAATTTTCAGTTTGTTCTCTAAATATTATGTGGTATACGCCTTGGAAAAAGAAAATGATTTAAGATGGAAGATGGCTTCTCCTTTCAAAACAATTAGACTGGCTTCTAGTCTCAGTATTGCCATTCAATCATGTATATATGTCTATATATGTTCTATTTATTGAGTTTGCTGTCAGACTTTAAGCTGTTATTGTCAGATTAAAAATGTGTTTTATTTATATTTCTCTACATATTTGTGTGTTGTTAAGTGCTTCCCTTCCCTCCAAATAATAACTGTAAGCAGTAACAGCATACTCAGTGCTGTTCAAAATACAAAATAAACTCTGGCCCTTATGCCAAAGAATTTAAAACTTAAACAGAGACTTCTGTCAGTGTTGAGAATGGAACCTCTTAAACACTTATTTGAACGGTACAGACTGACAAGGCATCTACTCTTGGCTTCAAAGGCAAGTTTTTCACTGAAATTATGCTACCACAGTCATTAGCACTCCATGTGTTATAAGACAGGCATTTATGTTTATGAAACTATAAGAAAAGTTAATAAAGTAATTTGTCATTTCTATTTTGGGCAACAGCCATGGGCTACAAGATGAAAATTAAAAAAATAAATAAAATTAATCTGGATTTTAGAATTTAACTATATGCTCTTGCTGATTATCTGTCCATTCATATTTTAACCTTGATATTTGAACTCAGCATAGGGTACATACAGGCATTACATTTACATTGACCTAATGTTAGATTGATCTAAATGCACAATAGTGTAGAGGGCTTAAATTGCCCCCCAAATGGGGTGAACTAACTTTAAATGTTCCCAATGTAAGGTAGCTCACCTGAGTGGGTAACTAACTAGATTGAGATCAGGTTAATGTGATCTATGAAGGGGTTAATCTGATCTTGTGAACACTAGTATGCAATCGCAGTGCAGCCCTTCAGCTGGGAAAGCCAGGTTGTTTGCTCCAGCCCTGGAGCTGTGCTATTCCTACCCTATCCACCCCTGACTGGGCTATTTTATCTAAGACCCCAATTTTAGAAGTTTGGAATTTTTTTTAAAGGTATTTTCTCCTTTAAAGCTTTGTTTCACCATTCTTTCAGCAATTCTGAATATTACAGATGTTAAATTTCCTTTTTCTAAAAATTATGTGGTTAGTCCAGGAGTGGGCAAAGTCTGGCCCACAGGCCCGCGGCGCGCACAGTTTCCCAGCAGCTGCTGCCCGTGTCCCTGCAGCCAGTTTCCAGGGAAATCCCAGGAGCGGTGGCAGGCCTGTGATAGCACAAGGTCAGGGTTTCTGTGGAGACCAGCCCCAGCAGCACTGGCAGGGTGCACAGCTGGGCAGGATGCTGCTCCAAGACTGGGATCTTGTGGCAGTAACAGTGTAGTCTGGAGCTGGGGCAGAGCTGTGATCCACTGCCTGCATGTCCCAGACTCTGCCCTGGCTCCAGAATCATGGCTCTGCCCTGGCTCTAGACCATGCCATCACCACTGCAAGATCCCAGCCCCAGCCGTGGATTATCTCCCTACCCAGCTGTGCGCTCTGCCAGTGCTGCTGGGGTCAGTATCTATCTCAGCAGCACTGTCACAGCACCACTGCTACTGGGATCTTCATGGAAAATGTCTCCAGCATCTCGGGCAGGGGCCGATGGGAAAAGGAGTCTAGCTGCTGGCTGGATCCACCATTTTGCCCACCCCTGAGTTAGTCATTATAATGTACATTTCACTGCTTATATCTTGGTGATTGCTGGAGATTTAATTTATCTATCATGTGTCTTGTTTTTCCCCTTAAATGAGCCAATCTAGTTATGGGATGCCAGCTCTGACTTGGAATTCCTGTTTCATTATGGTTTGTCACAACCTTAATGTTGTTTAAACTTTGTCTGGTCTTGAATATGAGCAAGGCTGTTTGATACACACAAAATTAGATGTTCTTATCTAACTTGAATAAATCTTAAGTTTGCAGTAGATATAATTAAATTCATTAATTGTGCCTAAAGGCTATAATACTCTTTTATGTGGAATAATAATTTTAAAAAAAGAACTGCTTTCAAAATTCCCTCTTTTTAACTAAAACCATATTTTATTACTACTTCTGATTCAAAATTGTGCATAATTTTTGTCGCCTATTCCATGAATTTTATGGAAACATCAGTGGAAGCTGTTTAAATTTTACCATTTTATCACTGATTAATTTGGCCATTATATGTAGTAAGATGGATTTTGATTGATAACAGCTAAAAGGGAAATATTAAACTTGTGTATTTCAGAGAGAAAGCCAGAATTAGAGAGCAAGAACAGTACCAGTTTTGAGATTAGTGAAGACCATGTTAAAAGCATACCAAAGGAATTTCTAGTTCCTTTGTATGAAACAGCTGAATTTAAAGTGGTGAAACTATTTTTCTAATCTGTGTCGGTTGTTATTTCTGAAATGCTATTCTTTACCTCCTATATCCATAGCTGTTGCTATATAAATAGCAAGTAAAAATACTTTATTTAAAAGTCCTTAATATGGTGAATACATGAATGTATTTATATATGATTCTGATGCACTTACTTTGGTTTAACTGTTGCCTCATACAGACATTCAGTTCCTCCTCAGATTGTTAATGCTCTTCCAGGAAAAACTACAGGTGTACAGATGGTCATGCTTTTCCCCCCAGAAAAATATCCTGGGAACAACCAGGGCTAAATCACTCCCAGGAGAGTTTCTGACTTCTGAGGAGAGGCTGAGGGAATAGGGCTTTTTTAGTCTGCAGAAGAAAAGATGGAGGGGGGAATTAATAGCAACCTTCAGCTCCTTGAAGGGTGGTTTCAAACAGGATGGAGTTAAAGTGCCCACAGTGGTGGGAGATGACAAAACAAAGAGCAATGGTCTCAAGGTGCCACAAGGGAAATTTAGGTTAGGTATTTAGAAACAATTTTCTCCTGTGGAGGGTAGTAAAACACTGGAACAGATACCTAGAGAGGTTGTGGACTCTCCATCCTTGTAGGTTTTTAAGACCTGGCTAGACAGATGTTTGGCTTGGATGATCTAGTTGGGGATAGTCCTGTCTTGAGTATGGGTTGGACTAGATGACCTCCTGAGGTCCCTTCCAACCACAATTTTCCATGAATCTATGATAATAGTATGCAAACAAGTGATGCTATTTGATATTCTGTCATGTTTTTAGAAGTTATATTTTATTTCTCAAACACACATTAGATGGGTTTTTTGACAGTTGTAATAGTACGTTTTAACTAGTGTAAAGAAACACTTTCAATTTTAGTTTGTGATATGTCACTTTTTACTTTCCAGGTGCAGCAGCTGAATTATATGGATGAAGTATGTTATGAAAATGTTTTGAAACAAATAATGGCTGGACACCAGGTATTTTTGTTTTACTTGCTTTTCGTTACAGCTTATTTAATGGAATGAAAACATTTAGCAGGATTCATTTTGTGTGCATTGTAAAGTGACATTTTCTCATGTATTTTGAAAGTTAATTCAGGGACCCCATTCTCTTTTTTTTTTGCAGCAGTGCCAATAGGCAGATGTGTTTTAATGTATCAAAATATGCTCAGAGTCAATGTAAGTTTAATAACCTTCTTTCCTTCTTTTTAGGCTGTAAATAAGTGTTGTGTCTGTATTAATATCAGTTAATGTATAAAATATAAATATTTTATAATGTATGAATATTAATATAGATAACATCAAAATCCTATTGGCAGGTGATTTTAGTGATTATGATTACTTGTAGGATCTGACCACATAGAGACATTCAGTTGTTCTTGAAAGAGTTGCTTCCTTCCTAGTAGAAATCACAACCATATGCTTAGGATGTTCAGGATTTTTCTGTCAGAGCAAATGTCTGCTATGAGAGGAAAAAAAATGCAGAACAACTAGTATTAAATCACTCCTGGGAAGATCTCTCTTGGGCAAGCGAGTGTTTGCACACATGCTCTTCTGAGACAAACAGTACATTCCTCTAGCATTCCAGGGTGCTTTGCTTCTTTCTCCCAGGGTGTTTTGCTTCCTTTCCCTCCTCCCTTTCCCCCTTCACACAGGGAGAGGGTGTATTGGTAGGAACAAATCTGGACTTGCTGGACTTGCTCAAGTTGCTGGACTTGACTGCTCTAGTCAAGCAGGAAATAGAATATGCTTCTTTCACAGTCTCCACATTGTGCTTCAGATAGAGACTGCCTGACCCTGAGCAGCCTGGTTCAGCTAATCAAGGCTGCCCTGTTTACTGGTGCCATCTGTCACCAGGCAAAATGAGGGAGCCTACAAAGCATGTTGAGATTTTTGCATAGGGACTGCCTGGCTGCACAGCATCAGCTTTGTGAGCTCTCTACCCCTGAGGGGTTCAGCATTTGTCTGTTTAGGTAGGTTTTTCTACCAGGATAACAAAGTGGGAGAATTCTCCCAGATCATTTGAATGTGTCTATACAATCTCTGTTATAATTCCCTTAGGGTTTGAATAGGTATACTGCAAAAGCCCAACATTTCATTATTAAAAATGTCTCTGGGTATTTGAGAGGTCATATCCAAAAATGGACTTTTCTTTCTTTGATTTTCCTGTCTATGACATTTGCAGGAAGAATGTTCATTGTTCTTGTACCACCTGGCTATTATGGCAACAGTTATTGTACATACTGAATCCCTGCGTGGTCACTGCACTAAAGACGCAAAAGTAAAAGAAAAATTAAAATTCACTTCAGTTCTCATCCTAAGTATCAAGTGACATTTCCCCAAGCTTCAGGGAATTTACAAAGTATAGTCCATTTGTCAGATGAATATTTCTTTAGAATTTGAAGTCGTGAATATTGAGATTTGATAAAAGAGAAATTATGTCTGAAACCAGGTTATTCATTCTCTGCCTCCACTAATGACTCATAGCTGTCCACCACCTTCCATATAATTAAGTGTTGTCATGGAATAGTGCTGCACACCACCCATTCAGGAGGCTAGGGGTACTCAAACTCCGGCCTGCAGGTCTTCCGGTGGATTGGAAAATTTTGCAGCCAGGGAGCAGTGCAATATATATGGCCACACTTCCCTGCTGCCAAATGCCCAAACCCCAAGTCCTGTGCAGCAGGTTGGGGCCAAGTCACTCCAGTTTGCTCCACCTATATGTCTAGATGAGGTTGGGCCATGTGATCCTGGCCCCCCCCCCCCCCCCCCCAGGCTGGTTGGGGCTGAGTCATACCCCTTTTCCCCTGTGTGGCTGGGTTGAGGCTGGCTCAAGCCCCTTTCCCTGCCCCTCCTGCAAG